TTACATTATATCACTTCTTAAAATAGCGATGAGTTTTCAAACAAAAATGATCAACGTATTCTAAGTAAACTGTCGTTATTCATATGAATTCTATTTTGGCCCTATTAGTGCTCTAATCTTTAAGGACGTCATACTTCAAAATTCCCGCCGAATTTCAAGCTAGAGCGGCTCGATTGTATTTTAGACCAATTTGATTCACACTAATCTAACAGTTGATGACCCATTGTTATAAGCCAGATTAGCTGGGAAATTAGTTTCGCTGTAATCGCAACAATTAGTTATTTGATGGGAAAAGCTGGTTTGCCGAACATCCTTATAAATCGAAACAAAAGAGTTTGCGTAAGGCAACCTGTACCATACCAGGCGAATTATGGTTCAGAAGGGTAATAAGATCAGCAGCGCTCAGTGTGTTAACCAAGAAATCAAATGAGAGAAAATGGTTCTCTCATGAGTTGCTGGATAGTGAATGAATATACAATAATGTTGTTCTTAAACTTCTTGTTATAAGTGAGGAAGTTCATTTCTTTCGAAATATTTCTTTGTAATATACTGTCAGGGTAAGAATGAACTCCCAGTTGAAAGAGTTGGAATGTATTGCTTATATGTAGAAAAAGACTCTTGAGCAGCTGCTGAGCATTGCAAACTTTAATTTGCATTGGTGAGCCATCAAGGCTTTGAGTCTCTCGAACGCTAAAAGATTTTGCCTCATATGAAAGCATGTCACTCAGTGAACTATCATTGCTTGAAGAAAAGAGAGTGATGCCTCGGAATTATTAAGCTATGTTATCTTCCTAAAACCATCACCTAGCAATGAAGTGAAATGAAAATGAGAAATGAATCATGAAATTTTAAACTTTTAATCTCTATAGTATCGCCTTTGTTGCGCTTCTCATATCACTTACTTCCTTTCTTGATGTCGAGGAAAGAGTCAGTGGAGCACAACATACAATAAAACAACATGTTCAGCGTTCTTCAAGTAAAATCCTTAACGTTTTATTCCAGTATAACATCAAGTATTTGTTTATATTTGTGGCCCTAAAGAGGGCCGTTGGGTTAGGTTTAGCACGAGTGCAGACAAGGTGTTTATTCCTTGTCTCCAGCAGTCTTCTTGGGGAGAAGAACGGCCTGGATGTTTGGCAGGACTCCTCCCTGGGCAATA